TTTTTGGTTTTTCTTTTGTCTTCTTGTGGTTTTAGTTTATAAAAATAATCAGTACTTGGCTGTTTTAATAAATTGAAGGTGTTTTTTGTCCAGATTTTTAATTCTTCAATTGGAATTTCATCTTTTTGTTGATAATTTTCCGTTTTTCATCAACTGTTAATTCTTGAATTCTTTTGCCTTGTTTTGGATCAAGCTTTCTTTTCATTCAGTTTGTATTTTACGAGTCCATATTTTATTTTATACAAGTAAGAAGAATAAATGACAAATCAATTCGGAATTCAATAATATTGGAATTCTTTTATAACTCCATTCAGAATTTATTTTTCATTCTTACTGATTTTTATTTCTGTGATAACAAATATAAATTTTGTCGTTTGTTTTTTTGTTTTTTCTTTTTATTATTTTTTGGTTAAAAAATTTATCAAACAAATTTTATATTTTCTGAAACTAATAACAAAACCATTTTTACTATTATAAACAATCCAGTTTATAAAATATCCAACATTATAAAATATTCAGGTTTTACTGTAAAATGAAATTATTTCAATATCAACACATACAAAAAACTGTCCTGAACATTATTTGTTCAATGACTAAATTATAACAATAGACGTGCAACGCTGATATGAACCGTATTTTTTATCACTTGTGTTTTTTGTAAAATTTTAAGAATTAACAAGCACTTATCAATGAAAATATAAACAGCACTTTACGTATAAAACCCGAATTTGTACCGTGATTGATATATAAGATTTGTATCATTATTCAAGTCGTCATAAAACAAAACTTGCCAAAACACAAAAAATAAAACAACACAGTAACAAAGTTAAAAACATTTTTTATGACGATAAAGTATTTATTTTATTGTTCAAATAATCATTCTTTGAACATATTTATGACTTTGGAATTGATGGTTAAATACAAACCAAAATCACAAATAAAATTATTTAATAAAATATAAGAATAAACACTGAGTTACCCATTAAGTTGACCAACTTTTATTTTATTTAATAACCACAAATCAATTACAAACATGATATCAACTAAATTAATGAGTATATTGTGTGTATTTTATATATGTTTTCTTGGCTTTTAACATCAAACAATACACAAGTAGATACGTTAATAATATGTAATGTGATTAAAAATATCAACAATATAGTAAATGAATATAGTTTTTATAATTATTAAATAATTATATAACAACTAAATTATAAAACAAGCAATGTTTTGTTTTTGGTACAATATTAATAATTATTAAACAAGTATAGTTTATAATTGATATCTTTTTGTAAAATTTAACATTCAAGAGAATAGTTTTATTTTTATTTATTATTTACATTCAATATAATTCATAATTATAAATCTCAATATACATTTAATTCAAAATATAAAGAAATACATAAAAAGTAATTAAATTGTTCGTAAGGTGGGTTTGGTTTAACTTGAATTGTTTTCATAATGTTTAAATTATAATAAAGGATTTGTATATTGATAAGATTGTAAAATTTGTAATAAATTGTGGTTATCTTAATCTAATGTAAATAATACTGTTAATAATAAAATAATAAAATCGTTAATTTACATCAATTTAATAATAAAAAATATAATAGTTCAATTAAATGATAAAATTATTAAAAAATACTTAAACATTAAAAATGTTGTATTATTAAATTTAATACAACATTTTTGATTAACACTATTAATTCGAATTGATTGATAAAAAATGTATTAAATTTATATTATAAAACATAGTATTTTTATTGCTTTTTCGTTAATTAAACCAAAGATATTTAGAATAAATAATTGAATTGTTATTTAATAGTTTAATGATGGTTAATAAATGGTTTATTAAATAATTTATTTTCTAAACAGTTTGAATCTTTTTATACATTTCAATAAAAGTTCAATGTTTTTGATTTGAAAACAGCTTCGAATTGTTTCTTATATCGAGAAAAGTTCAAAGAATTTTTATCAACTTTTCTTTAAAAAATGTAATTTATGTACACAAATCTATTTTAGGAAGTGTACCGTATTTTCTGGTGTACGACAATTTTCTGGTCGACTTTAATACTTTTATCGTGTTTCAATTTAAATCCAAAACAAATTCTATATTATAGTAAAAGACAAATCAGACAAACAGAGATATTCCCCCAAAAACACAAATATCTTTTTTGAAGTATATGTATTTGAACATACATATCTCGCATACACAACGTTTAAATCAAATGAAATTTTGAGAATTAAATACTATCATATAATTACAACTTTATTGATATAGCACTTTGTTTTTATTACACAGAATAATATAAAGTAAATCGACATTTGGTCTTTTTTAGACCATATTTGTTATCACCACTTATCGATTTTTAATCACAATTGAATATACAAACTTTAACAATGCAGTTATGAATAAATACACTTAAAATTGTACTATAGTTCAGTTACAAACATTCAAGATATAAACATCAATTTTAACCATTTATGGTTTTTATATTTTTGATTAAAAAAGAATTTATGGTTTTAACACCAAATAAACAACTTTTTTATGATAATTGTAGTATTTTCCCGTTTTTCCCAAAATAAACAAACCAATTATAAAACCAAAATATTATAACTGAAACACAAACAAATTGAATTAATAAATCTTTAAAGCCGTTTTGATTATTATTTCGTTTATTTTGCTAAACAAAAGAAGAGCAAAGAACAAGGACGAGTGGGCAGTGGTGGTGATGGATGGTCTTGGTTCACATTTCGGTGAAGAAACATCTAAATGGTTCACCGACAACCACGTGGCTGTTTTGAAATTGTGCCCACATTCTTCACATATCACTCAACCACTTGACGTGTCTGTTTTTGGAATTCAAAACGTTTGTTTTGTGTATAATAATAAAATATAAAAAAATATAAAAAAATATAATAAACTAAACTTTAGAAACTTATCCAACTTCCTCAAGTTGATGAAGACTTAAATTTTGAACCAATTGGTTTGCAATCTTTGGACCATGTTTTGGGTACTCTGAACTTAAAAACGCTAACTGTGCCAAAGGAAAGAAGAAAGACATTATAAGGGATCTATATGAGGGGAGATTGACAAAGGCCGATTTGGTTGAATTCTCCAGAAGTCATTTGTCCAACCAAATAATATCGATCTACGCGTCTTGGGACAAAGCGACTTCTGGTGTTACCATTGTCAACGCGTTCAGAAAGTGTGGGTTCTTCAACACCCAGTGCGTCATTGGTGGAGAGACTTGCTTGCGCGTCAAGTTTTTTCCAGAAAGATCGAAATTGATGATGACTTTCTTGGGAGAACTGGTGTTATTTAAAAGAGAGCGATTTGTTGGAAGGAGAAAAGCGGTTGTTGCACACGACATACCGGAGTTTGAAGATGAGTATGAGGACAATGATATTTCCCAAGAAGTTTAATATCGAGAACTTTACCAACATAATTCGACCTCGTTTACTGTTTTTTGATTTTTTGTTAAAAAGTATAAAACAATTCAGAAATAGTATAATGTATGATTAGTTATTAATCATATAAATATTTTATATTTTTATAATACATATTTAATATAAAATAGTTAAATAAAACCCCATAATATTTATCTATAAAAGTATTTTAAATTAAAAGATAAATCGAATCTAAATGAGTAATTGATTATTTCTTAAGGTGGGTTTGGTTTAGAATGTTTTCAAAGCAATAATAAATTTTTTTAATTTAATATGTAAAGTAAAAAATATCATTTAAAACGTGGTAACTTAATAATAATTGTAGTAATCATAATAGTATACAAAATAAAATAAATTTGATAAATGTAAAAAACAAACCATATGATGAGAATTTTTATGGGTTGTTTTATAACTATAACTAATTTTATTAAAAATTTTAATACAATATACACAATGTTCAATCGTTATTTTGTAATGATATAAATTTGTAATTGTTAGTTAGGAAAAATGCGATATTATAGTACTTCATAAAGGTAGTAAAGACTTATCAAAAATAATAAAACTTGAATCAAGGCGATTTCAAAATCAAACAAAAACACCATTTTTATTAAATTTATTTTATAAATAAAAAAGTTCTTTTTAGTAAAACGAATCAGAAAGAATTATGGTGTAGCCTTTTCCCCTGGTGTGACTTTTTCCCCACTCTTTATAACATTTTATTAAAATAAACAATTGGTATTCCCGCTTCACGAACTTCATGAAACCAATTGATCATTACTTCCTCAAGTTCTGGGTTCTGTGGTCTTCTTATTCGTTTATACGAGGGTGGAAAGTTTATCAATGTTTCTTCGGAAATTGAACGCAAAGTGTTTTTTTGGTTACAACAAAAATTAACAATCAAAAAAAGATATGTTTGTAACAAAAAACAAACTGAGGTATTTGGTAATAATCCAACTTCTTATGGG